AAAAGCCTCGTCTCTCCAGTGACAGGCAACCCCTCACCTCCTTTGCTCTTTCTGAACAGGTTGTTATCCCCGTCCCCTGTCACTTTGACTCACTGGTGCCTCTCTGCCCTTTGCTGCTTCTGTGACCTTTCAACACCCCACCCCCCACCCCAGGACAAACTGGTAATGCCTTGGGAGCCCACATGTCCTGTCCCTGGACGTTTACAGCCTGAGGCGCACTGGCTTAGGTTAGAGCTGCTTTAAGCCAGGGGACCCAGTTGGCCTCCAGGCTAGTTCTGGTTTTAGGGAATTTGCATGAGGGACACCTCTGCGTGGCCTGCACACTCTCGGCTGGACAACAAGCCTTTCTCTGCTGGCCTGGGGCACACATTTTTTCCAGTTGCCTCACCCTGTAGGCACTTAAGTTTGCAATTCTTGCTCCAAAGCCATTTCCAACATGTTCCTAATTGGTCATCTCACAATTTCGATACCCAAGAGACCAGAAAGAATGTAAATGCTAGTAAAGCTGCCTAGGTTCAAATCCCAGCTCTGCCATATGCTCGCTGTGTGAATTTGGGAGAGTTATCTTCCCACCTTTGAAAAATGGAGATGACAAGAATAGTATCTACCTTCCACGGGTTCTGGTGGGAACTGAATAAGTTCATATGCAGAAAGTGCCTAAAAATAGGGTCTGGCACAACCAGGAAAGCTGTCAATGTTCTCAGGATTCCACTTTCCAGCTGCCATCTGTACCTAAGTGGGTTGGCTTCACAGTTTTTGTAGGACTCTGGACAAAGGAACAATGTCTTCAGCAAATTCTTCCTGTATTCGGTGGGAAAGGAGGGCACCTGCCGAGTTGAGTTTCTGGAAGCCTGTGACTTGGTGCCTGACATCCTCGGCAGCCCCTGTGGCCTCAGAGGAAGGACAGAGTCTGAGAGGAACAAGCCTCCAGAAGACCCGCCTTTAGAAACCCAGGAGTTTCAGGCTGTGGTTTCCTTGCCCAGGCATCAGGGCCTGGGGAGCTGCCAGGGCCCTTTCAACTCTCCCGCCCTGCTGAGCCCGGATAGGATTGTGTAAGAGCCGCCCTCCACACGCCTGCTCTCATGCAGCACGCCTGGGCCTGCCCGTCCTCCCGGGGAGCCGGGCCAGAAGGCCCTGGTACCCACACAGGTCTGGCCACCCAAAGGCTCCTGCCTGGTCGGGAGAGGGAGGGGGACATCTCTTGAAGTTCAGGGCCTGCTCCCGAACTGATGCCAAACTGGAGTTCTGGGGAGGCTTGGGGCGAGGGGGTGTGTGCTGTGTACAAGACCCCGGCCACTCCCTGAGCACATATGCCCTGGTGTCTCCAGGGATCTTCTGCAGGCCTGTACCACTTCCCAGGCCTTCTTCCCTGCATCCGTGTGTGTGTGTGTGTGTGTGTGTGTGTGTGTGTGTGTGTGTGAGCGCGCCTCTCTGCATAGCCCGAGTAGGTGTTTTGCTTAAGCTCTAGGTACCGTTTGTGAGTGCGTGGGCCTAGCATCCCGGTGGCAGGTGAAGGTGCTGGCTGGGGGAGAACATGTGTGGGCACACACCCTGTTGCCCTGGCTGCAAAAGCAGGGCGTCTGGAGAAAGGTTAATCAGGTATGTGACCGTGAGGAGGCATTTAAGGGGGCATCTCCGCACCTGGCCCCACGTGGAAACCCAGCAAGACAGGAACCAAGAGCGGGCCCCAGCTGAGGACCTCAGTGGTCTGGGCCAGGTCAGAAATCCCAACCTGATTAAAGTTGAAACTGGGAGAGGCCGGCTCTTTGACATCTTGAAGGTTCCTCTTCCCTCTTCTGTGTTAAACTCAAATGGGTCTTTTCTACCTTTCCGTCACCCCTGGCAGAGGAGCCACCCCCAGTCTCAATTAGAGGGGAGAAGATATGAGGGATGGAGGACACACCACCAACTCCCCCTCTCACAGCCAAGGGGAGTGCAGACAAGGTGATTGATTGGATGGTTCCGGGCTCAGAACACTCAGTGGTCCAACCAGGAAACGCCTGGACATGCCAGATGGCTGGTTACCCTGGTCTGGTCCTTACTCATGTGCTGGTAACTATGGCATTCCTGCAGAAATCTGAGACACACTCATGAAGAACGGACCTGCAGCGCTCAGTCCAAGAACAGCTTCCAACTCCAATGCTGCTTCTCTGCGGTGCAGAAGCCAGGACAGCTCCGGGAGCATTTGGTTTGCACATGACAGAGCAGAAGGATGGTGAAGCTTAGCAGTGGTCACAGAGCAAGCGGGTGACACCGGGATCGGGTCTCCTGCACCCTCCTGGGAGGGCTCACAGCTGCCAGGTGCAGCACATAGGAATCTGTTGGTTTCCAGATCCAGGTGGGAGTGAGGGGAGGAGATTTCAGCCTCCTTTAAAGCAATGTTCTCTCCTCCAAGAGGTTTTCTGAGGGTTTCACAGGGGGAAAAAAGTGAGGCTTGGACAATTCTATAGGAAAGTCTCAAAACAGGATGAAAGGTTACTCCGGAGAGCAAACCTCCCCAGGGAAGGGAAAGAAGAGCACCCTTTCTAAGGAAGTGCAAGCTCCATGGGCATTTAGAGCCTGAGAGGAAAGTCAGAGCTCACACACCCGAACCAAGAGCCCCAGGCCTCCTCAGCTGCAGCACATTCTTAACTTACAGTGTTGTGGCCAAGCCTACAATTGTGACTGTGTACTGGCTCTTGGCAGCTTTCTCCAGGGCAAGCCACTCTCTCTTGCCACTTAGGTGCTTCAAGAGTGTTACTTTGAAAGCATGGGCTAGACACCTCCCCATCCACGTGGCTGCTGGCAAGGCCTCGCTTTTCCCACTAGCTAAGTGGAGGGAAGAATATAGCCCAAGTTCCAGGGAGGGAGCAGCACAGCTATCGGTACCCCCTCCATCCTGAGTTGTTCACGGGGCCACATCAAAGTCCTTGGCCAAGACACAGTTTTGAGACCCACACCCCCGGCCCCCCACTAAGTACCTATCACCGAGGGAGTAACCAGTGTCCTCTTGGGCCGTATGTTGGAGGTTTCCTCAGTGAAGACTTTTAGGATGATAAAATTATTCCAGAATGTTCTTCAAAGTCACCACTATAATTAAATAAGGGACAGCCATGATGGAAGTAAAATGTGTTCTGAATACCTGTAGAAACAGATAAAAGGGAAGTCAGAAATTAATGATTAGTGTTAATAAGTGAGCCTGCATGAAACGAGTGTCGAGCGTTAGTCGCTCAGTCGTGTCCGACTCTTTGTGACCCTATGAACTGTAGGCCGCCAGGCTCCTCTGTCCGTGGGATTCTCCAGGCGAGAACACTGGAGTGAGTTGCTGTGCCCTCTTCAGGGGATACTCCTGACCCAGGGGTTGAACCCACGTCTCTTGCATTGGCAGGTAGGTTCTTTACCCCTAGTGCCACCTGGGAAGCCCCACTTGAAATGGCTCTCAAAGCAGGCAAGGACCAGCATTAAGAAATATCCATCCTGGAGAAGGAAATGACAACCCACTTCAGTATTCTTGCCTGGGAAATCCCATGGAGAGAGGAGCCTGACAGGCTACAGTCCATGGGTTCACAAAGTCAGACACGACTTAGTGAGCAAACAACAACAATTAGTTTTTCTACAAAAGAATGACAGGAGTTGAATCTTTCAGAAGGAAAGGAATGATGACATTATTTATCAATGAAAAAATTGTGAATCACTTCATTGTACACCTATAGCTTATATAATATTACATATCAACTATACTTCATAAAAATAAATGAAAAATTTAAAAAAAAAGAAATATCTGTAGCTGAGAACCCCAGCTACTGGTTACTGGAAGCTTTCAGCTTCATGCAGGCCTGGCACCTGGCAGTGGTGGGGGTCCTCCATGACTCCTCACTTCAATCCCACCTCTCCCCCTCACGGAGCCACCAGTAGGAGTTGGGGCATGCTAGGGACTGGAGGATGCCTAGGACGAGGAGTGCCTAGGCTTGAGTGACACTGGTTCTAAGCAAATTTCTTTATCCTCCCCACCTGGTTCCCATCACCTGGGCTGAACTGAGAGGGGATCTCTGGGCATAGGTGCAGGCTGGGGGTGGCAGGGGCAGGTCTGGTTGTATCCTCCCATTTGGCGTGGCCCTGTGTTCTGTACATCTGGCTATACTTCATCAAGAAGTGACCATTCTATTTCTCTGAATCAAGTGGAATTGGGCCCGACGTTCCACTGAGCCAGCCCTGATCCTGGATGTGTACACCATGCCAGAGAAAAAGAGAAAACCTGAACGTGCTTCAGACAGTTATGGCAAGCGCCTCTACAGATGGAAAGAATGGGAAAGAGCCTCCTTTTACAGGTGGGGTTGCTGGGACCCAGAATAGGTGCCTGATTTGCCAGCAGAGTGGCCCCTGGCCAGGAAGAGAGCCCCTTGGCCCCAGCTGCCAGGGCTCCATGCCACCCACCCACCCTCTTGACGAGCGATGGGGGCCCTGGCAGACGCTGGCTCTGAAAACTCAAAGGCCCAGGGCAGAGGTGCTTCCTGGAGCTTATCAGGCTTGGCAAGAGGCTAAGGTCAGGGAAAGAAGTAAGGGAGAGAGCAGAGGCGAGGGAGCCTGGGCAGCTCCAACAGGGAAACCAGCCAGATAGGCACATGAACACGAGGGTGAGGCAGGAGGGTCAGAGGGGAGAGGGTGCCTCTGAAAGCTGCCTTGCCCCAAACAAGCAGAGAAGTTCCAAACGTGCCCTTCCACAAGTGGGACCTGGCTACCGGGCTAGAACCTTGAAGACCCGACCCAGCAGGGGCACGGCAAGGGACAGAACTACAAGGTGTAAGCAGTAGAGAGGGCGGTGAGACAGGCAGCTCCTGTTTACTGAACAAAGTCTGGGTCAGACATGACTCTGGACTCCAGACCCACGTTAACCCATTCAGTCCTAGGTGGTGTGTTACCCACACTCACGGGAGTCAACTCTGCGTTAGTCACTGGTAGGACTGATGCTGAAGCCGAAGCCCCAATACTTTGGCCACCTGATGTGAAGAACTGACTCACTGGAAAAGGCCCTGATGCTGGGAAAGACTGAAGGTGAGAGGAGAAGGGGACAACAGAGGACAAGATGGATGGTATCACCGACTCAATGGATGGACATGAGTCTGAGCAAACTCTGGGAGATCATAATGGACAGGGGAGCCTGGCGTGCTGCAGTCTGTGGGGCTACAAAGAGTCAGACACGGCTGAGCAACTGAACAACAATATGAGAGAGGAAACAGGCAGAGTGGGTGGATGTTGCCCAGGGTACCTCGCAGAGCTGGGTTTTAAAACCAGATGTAGCTCCTGCTTTCAAAGGGAAAAGCTGCTGGTCACAAGCAATCCTGCCCCCACCAGCCTGTGCCCACTCCTGCCTCCTCCAAAGGCATGGACAGGCACTTGGACTTTCCTCTGTCAGTTGGTAAGGAGTTTATTTTCACCAGCTGAGGGGCTCGTCCTCCAGTAGATAGATGCCTTTCAGGTTGCAGAAGGAGCAGAGAATCCTCTCCAGATGGGTGATTTCTGGTTGCGAGGCAGGATTCCTTCTGGTGGGATATAATGACCCGGGGAGAACAGCATTTTGCAACTGTTTGTGGCCAAGGACTCACCAGTAAGTTAGCCTACTGAAAAATAAATACACCCGGGCTGTTTCATTGAGCTTTTTCGTGACATCAGTAGACAGTTGGCAACAATGCCTTGAATATTTCTCCAGGCTACCATTGATCGTGGCCTTGCTCTGGGCTGTGGAAGCCCAACATTGCACAATGTTCCTCTATAGTGACCCACAGGACAAATTCTTTTCAGGCCCCAGCACCAGCAGGGCAGTGTAGCCTGGTGGTTAGAAGCACAAACTCCAGGTCCCTCTGCTGTCCTCTTGTTGGGGGTGGGTGGGGGCAGGAGCCCATCAGAGCAGGGTTCCTTGCCTGCCTCTGTGGCTTAGCATGTGAATCCTTGGGCAAGGTGTAACCTCCATGAGCTTCAGTTTTCTCACCTGTAAAATGGGAATAAATAACACCCTCCCGAGACGTCTCCTGGGGAATTCCCTGGTGGTCCGGTAGTTAGGACTCCGCACTTTCAGTGCCCAGGTTCAATCCCTGGTTGGGGAACTGAGGTACTGCCTACAAAATGGTGCAGTAAAAAAAAAAAAAAGACTTCTCCCAAATAACTTGCTTTAGTTTTTCTTTATAGACCCTCTGTGTCTTGTAACTAAGCACATTTCCCTCCCTGTCTGGGCTGCCAGAGGCCCAGCACCCACCTTGAGGCCACTCCCCAGTTCCAGAGCACGCTGAGGTGGGTGGGATCAACCCTACCCCCTCTTACTTCCTACCTTGTTTTCCCTTAACCTAACCTCTTCAGTCATTTTTTTTTCCTGTTGGCCTTTTGGTATTTCTATGAACTTCAGAACACGGGTCCCCAACTTCCAGGCCACGTACCGGTTGGTACTTCCTGTCAGACCAGCCGCGGTATTAGACTGGAAATAGAAGTGCACAATAAATGTAATGCACTGGAATCATCTCAAAACCATCCCGGTCCGTAGGAAAATGGTCTTCCACGAAATAGGGTGTTATTCAGTCACTCTTTTGCAACTCTATGGACTGTATCCTGCCAGGCTCCTCTGTCCATGGGATTTCCCAGGCAAGAATACTGGAGCAGGTTGCCCTTTCCTTCTCCAGAGGATCTTCCCAGACCAGGGATCGAACCGGTAGTCTCCTGCATTGGCAGGCAGATTCTTTACCGCTGAACCAGCAGGGAAGGCCCACAAAAATCTGTCCCTGGTGCCAAAAAGATTGGGGACCACTGCGTTAGAACTAAGGCCTAAATTAATTATCGTGATAAAAAGACTGGAGCCCTTTATACCAAAGCACTTCCTCACAAGTTATATGCTGTTGAAGCCTCACACCAATCCAGGTAGGTGCCCCATTTTACAGGAGAGGAAATGGAGGCCCCTGGAGGGAACTGGCAGGATGGACACAGGTCATTCCACGCCACCTGAGGGGAGCCGCCCACCACCGATCTCCCCGGCCCCTGCCCTGGCTCCGTAAGTAGCCGCCCCCTACTCTCCCAGCCCTTTCCAGAATCCCCCACCTGCCCCCACGCAGCTGAGTGATTCTGCCCCTCCCTCACACTTCCGTCCCATCCCACTCCACTTCCCTGTTATCGTTCTCTTGACTTTGGGGGGACTTTCCAAGAAATGGTAAAATCCACTGCATTATTTAAGGATGATTGAAAAATCCGCCTCCGCTTTCCATGGCCCCCTCTATGGTGCTTCCAGCAGATAGCTCAGCTTTGGCTCTCTCCTCCTCAACAGGGAAGGGATGGCCCGAGTGCTGGCACACTGCTCAGGACAAGAAGTTGTGGCCCAACCCTCCCAGGAACAAGCCCCAGGAGGGCAGAACACGGGGGCCACCGACTGCCTCCCCACCTCTTTCTTAGGACTGTCAACCTGGGTGTTTCCCCGGCTGAACCCCGGCTAGTCCCTCAGGGGACCCCGCAGCGGGCTAGAAAGAGCTGCCACCCAGTCTGATGCCCCTTCATTCCCTGAACTGGCTTCCTGGGGACGGCCACGGGCTCCCGAGGGGCTCACAAGTTACCAGTGCAATGTGGAGGAGACCCTCTTCAAATTCCAAGCTGCCGTCTGAGGCTCGGAGCCTTTGAGTCCAGCTGAGTTTTGAAGCCCCAGAAGTGCCCATGCAGAACTAGAGCTGAGCTGGGATCAGATGGAGAGAACTGAAGTGCTTGTGGCATACAGGGAGGGAGACTGGAGCTCTTGCAGGACACTGGGCGGCAGTCATTTTGGTCACATCTGAATAAGAAAGCAACCCACGACTTAGAGCTTGTTGTGTGTCTGCTCAGTCATGTCCAACACTTTGTGACCCTGTGGACTGTAGCCCGCCAGGCTCCTTTCCTCAAAATTCCTTGCCAGGAATTTTCCAGGCAAGAATCCCGGACAGAATCGCCATTTTCTTCTCTAGGGGATCTTCCTGACCCAGGGATCAAATTCGCATCTCTGGAGTCTCCTGCATTGGCAGGGAGTTCTTTCCCAGCCAAGCCACCAGGAAGCCCCTTTATCATTATTTGGTGGTAATTTCTCTTCTCCGCACACAGAGCTCACGATGGTTGCTTTTCAAGGAACTGTGGTGGTGTGGTTGGTGGTATTAGCCCCAAGGTCACCCAGCTCCACCCTGAAGGCTCTGATCCCTGCCCACGGGTCCACCTCCCAGGGGACCTCAGTCCTTATCTGTCCACAGTGGCTGTGCCCGTGTGTACGCCATCCAGGAGCCACAGGGGCCGGCAGGAAAGGCCAGGAAGTGTCGCAGCAGCCTGAAACCCCAGAAATAAGGTCAGGGAGCCCCAACCCTGGTGGCTTCCTTCTGGGCTGTCCATTGATGGGGGGCCTGGCTTGTCAATCAAGACAGAAGCACACAGTGAAAGTGACAGCTGGAGGCAGGCCTGGTGCTGGACAGGCACACGGCCGGTGCACAGCGGCCACACCTGGTCTTGGGCCAACTTCTCTTCTCTGGACCAGGCCCTATTCCAGTCTTCCCACCTCCTGATGGGTGTTCACGTGCCTTGGAAGTGCAACTGTGAACACATAGCCATGTCTGGCGACAGGTTTCCTTACTGTGAGCCAGACATGCGTGTTGACGCATGCGCGAATCTGAGCGCGTGCTTGCTGCGTTTGCAGTCACGGTCGCGCCCCTCCCATCTCAGCGTTGGCGCACAGAGCCGCTCTCTGCAGGTACACGGGTGTTTGCTTTAGTTTCCTTTGTATTTCTCTGTATTTTTAAGCATTCCCAAATGTTAGCATCCACCCACAGGCTCCCTCCCTGTCACCACCCACTGAGGGAGGCAGGCACAGTCTGGAAAGTATACACTGAGAGTAACAAGGACCACAACAGCGAGAACCCCGGGGAGAGAGCAGACAAGTTCTGCTGAGCAGTCAGGGAGGGCTTCCCAGAGGCGGCATCTTCCGAACTGGACTCAAAGATGAGGAGGCTGCCCTGGGTGGACTGGGGGTCTCCCCTGTGGATCGCTCCTCCCTGCCGCGTCCCCTTCACACGGGCTCTGCTTTGCTGTCACCGCCTCCCATTCTCACCTCTCTGTGCTCCTGGGTCCAGTCCACCTCCCTCCCTCCCTCGTGCCTGTTTTCTGACCAAACAACAGCACACAAGCAAATCCAGCAAACAGCTAATAAAACAGTCTGTCTGGCTGCAACTGAAAGCAATGGAAGCACTGCTTTCTGTTCCAATGGAAGCATCTCATTTGGCCTAGTCTTTTTCTAGAAGTTTCTGAGTCACCTAAACCTAAGAACAGAAAGAGATCGTGAAACTAAGCTGGTTCCTCATCTCATGCTGGGAGGTATGACCCCTAAGCCCTCTTTGGGGGTCACCTGGTCTCAGCCTGAATGCCTACCTGCACCCACAGGTGAGCATACAATCCTGCCTGGATACCCTCACACCTGGTGAAATGCCCCCTCCCCACCAGTGGTCAGATCCCAGACAGCCTCCATGTCTTCTGCCAGGCTCTCTGTGCCTCCTGCCCCTGCCCAGAACTGGGGACACGGTACCTGGGGACACAGTGGCCTGGGGACCCGCTGGCCCCACAGCCTGGGGAGGGGTGAGCTCTGCCTCCTTGCTTGCTGTGTGGTCTTAACGAAGTTCATTAACTTCTCTGAGCCTCAGTTTCTTTTTGTAAAGGTGGGAGAGGGGGTGCAGGAAGAGTTACAGTGTGTAAACTGCCCTGCAGATGCTATTTATTATGATTAAACCATTTGAGAGCAATTATAGAGCAACCATCAAGGATTATAGAACAATACAGGGGAAATTGCCCACATATGTGCTAGGGAGCCCCCCCAGGAAGAACACTTGGAGTGAGTCCGCGGTGGCTGTCTTTGGGTGGTATCTCGATGCCCTGTGTTCCCTGTACAAGATAAAACGTGCCTAATCCTCAGAGCCAGCCTGAGGGACGGCAAGCCCTGCATGACCACGGGGAACAGCTGGCTCAAAGGAGTGATCATCCAGCTCGTGGACAACCGGCCGGCCCTGGAATTCAGGTCTCTGGCCATGAAATGTGGGTGCTCTCCAATCAGCAGCTGCAGGAGGAAGGTTTTCAAGCTGGAGAGATTTGACAAGATGTGAGTCACAAGTGTTGAGGAAGAGAAGTCGCTTCTGCGTGGGGAGGGCACCACTCATTCACCCAGCAGCACTGGCCTCTCAACACCTGGCTCCTGCTGAGTAAATGAAAGTGCGGAGGGCGGTCATCAAGGGGACGTGTGTGGGCTCCTAAGGGCTTCTGTGGCAGTGACCGAGGTTGTGCCTTCCCCACCCACCTTAGTTCTAAGGAGGGGGGCCCTGGCCTGAGGGCCCCTGGCAGGAACTGGCCCCACGCAGCTAGCTACCAGGAACCTCCTATGCATAGACAGAGCTTCTGTTTTTCATCAAGACCAGTTAAGTGTATCCCAGGGCTTCGGTTGAGGGGGGTCAGGAAGGCATAGGAGGAGGAGGGAAAAGGATGAGGGGGCCTCCCTCGGGTTACTCAAGGTACCCAGGGGACAAAGGGAGCAGGAGACAGAGCCTGGCGGGGCAGGCCAGGTTGGCGGAAGCTGGGCGCGGATCCAAGGCCACCAGGCCTGCATGTGGGAGGGGCTGGTGGATGGAGGCAAGCGCCACGGAGCCAGCAGGGAGCAGCCTGATGAATAGGATGACAGGGGCAGATGGACGGGCAGCCTGGGCTGCTCTGGGTACCAGCCCTGCGCCCCGGCCTCCAGTCAGGCCTCTGGGCTGGGGGCAGGGATGCTGCTGGCCTCTGGCAGGGGTAAGGCTGTGTTGAATGAATCACTGGCCGGTGCCAGGAGCCTGCAGGCCTCAGCGCTCACTCCCTGAGGACCAGCTAATTCACTTGGAGTGAGGCCGGCCGCTAATGACGAGAGCAGCCTCCTGGGCCCTGCCGAGCCCCACGCACAGCTGACCACTGAGCAAGGGGCCAGGCCAGGGGCGAGGGCAGGAGTGCCCACCTCTGCCACCTGGCTTGGCCAGGGCTCCCCACCTGCCTGCACGAGGGCAGCAATGCCCCTGAGGGCGGGTGGACCCTCTTCCTGGGCGAGCCTGAGTCTGGGGGTGGAGAGGAGGCACAGACGCCCCCTCCCGAGCCACAGAGAGCCTAATTATGGTGGACAACTGGGAAGGGGGTGGGGAGGAGTGGACAGCAATAGCCATCTGAGCCCCCCCTCCTGAACAAGGAGGAAGAACTGGGTTGTGAGCACAGCCCCACATCCCGGAGAAACCAACCACTTGAAAAACATGGCCTGGCATCTTGCCAGGCTCTTCCCTGACACCTGCAGTGTGCTGATGGCACAGGTGCAGCGTCCCCAGGCTGCCCCATCCTGGGCAGGTCCCAGGGTTTAGTGAGCATGTACTGCGGGGCTCTCTACTGGGGTCCAAACTCTGTCCAGGGGCTCAGTCAGGAAAGGGGTCAGCACACAGGAATCACCACAAGGACAGAAGCCAGCTTCCACTCACTGTGCGCCGGGCCCCACACCAGGTATCCACCGACTTGTGTATCGTCACATCCACCTGCAAGGTAGGGAGTGTCAGGGAAGCCCATTTTACAGATGGGAAAACTGAAGCTCAGAAGGGTCACGCACTCACCCAAGGCCCTGAACTTAGCAGCAGCAGAGGCAGGTCTTGAATGACTCCAGTGTATATAATCACTGCCTAGCACAGCTCCAGGACTCCAGGTTTCAGGGTGAGAGGAGAGGGAGGCCCCCAGGCTTCTGTTCTTTAGGAATCAAAGTCCTCACTGGAGGCTCCTCGGGGCCAGAAGAGCTGGACACTGGCAGAAGGGGAGGACGGAAGGCTTGCCTTTGGGATTTTTGCTCCCTTTTCAATGTTCTGGGTGGCCCCCTCCCAGGGGAGAACACTTAACAAACTTTCAGGGAGACGAGGGAGCAGGAGCAGGGGGCAGGGCTGCAGGCCTGTGAGGCGGTGGGCTTGCGGGGGCCCGGGGATCGCATGGTCCTGCCTGGACCGGTAGTGGGCGATGATGAGCTGGCTCTCCCTCCTTGTGGTCGTGGCGGTCCGTGTGCCGGGACTCGGTCATCTCCGGGACCAAGACGAGTGCGCAGGATCGGCGCCTGGAGAACACTGTAGCTGGGTGCTTCCCCGGTGCCGCGGCCTTTTTCCGGGTGGGGGAACAAAGGGGACCTAGCTTGGTAGGGCGGAGGGTGGGTGGCACCCGCGCGCGCTCCCTCCCGCCAGGGCTGGGCCCGGACGGAAGGGGCCTCGGGCGCCCCCTGCCGGCCTGGGGACTCTAGGAGGAAGGCGGTGGCAGCTGTGGGACCTAGATTAGCAGTCCCTCCGCCCGCGCTGAGGCCTGGCAGGGTTGTGCACTGGTGGGTCCTT